CAGCAGCAGCAGCAGCAGCAGCAGCAGCAGCAGATATGCTTAGCTTGATGCCCTGGCTTCCAAATTTATATACTGTTTCTCTATTAAAATGATTTTGTGTATGGTTCAATTCACTAAGCATCCTCTGAAGTGCAATGGAGGCAATTGACACATAGAATTGTGAGCTTTAATTAACACATCTTTCTGCATTTTAGCCTACATATAACATTTTCACTGTCCAGTTCATAACTGCATAAATATTTGCTCAGAGGTTTTGTTGATTGTCTAGGTTCACTTGTCCATTCATTTATTTTAAGTATTTATTATTTTAATAGAAATTATAGTGTTTTAACAGAAAATGCCCATGGAACTGCAATAGGAATTTGTCTTTGTCTATTCACAAAGACAAATATTGAATAGAAAATATCCAGAGTTATTTATGGCAACTTGAATCAGTCTTAAAATGAAATGGGTGATTAACAGCTAGATGCTGTTGTCCTATAAATATATTTGAGAGATGTTTGGACTAAATTGCCTTGTTCAGGAATGGCCCATTGCATGTTGCTGGACTCAGACACCCAGCTTTACTCCTCATTGGTCATGATGGCTAGGGCTATTGGGAGTAGTGGTTCAGTCATCTCTAAAAGGCCCCACGTTGTCCATTCCTTAGTTAGTTGAACTGTCCATACTGGAAACATCCAGATTACTCATATGAGATTCCTTTGATTAGAAAAAAGGATGAGTTCCAGCAGCCTTTTTCAAACTGGCATTCTGCATGTGTTGGGATTGCAACTCCCAGCTATTATGGCCTATTGCCACACTGACTAATAATTTTGAGAATTTCAGTCCCAACCCTTGTGGAGGGTGACTAATTGGGGAAGACGGTTGTAGGGAAAAGACTTGGTGATTTGTTCCTCAGAATTACACATGATTTAGACAATGCCAGCCACTGGAAAATCCCATCTTTGTGCAGAAAGCCTGAAGGAGGTTTCTATGGAAGACCCTTAAAAAAATACAGAAACATGAATGCCATAATTTGTTTAGTGATTGATTACTTTAAGCAAGAAATGAAAGGCCACTAAGAGTTTCATTGCACTGAGCTTTTTTTTTTTTTGAAAAAAAATCTAACTACGCCTTATTGTTCTTTTTTCCCCCTTTCTATTCTGCTAGATCAATTTGCGTTCTGTCGCTATATGATTGACATGTTTGCGCACGGGAATATGTACACAGGTATTTGAAGTGAATGCTGTCAATGAAGTGTTTGGTTTTTCTCTGAGCTTCTGCTTTTTTTGTGCCCTTCAAATGTGTGTTCTTTTGTGTGTGTGTGTGTGTATGTGTTGTTAAACATGGAAACTTAGAGTGCACAGGTTAAATAAAGCATATTAACAAATGGCTTGAACCATTAAAGCTTCTAATACATTTTTCTGTAGTTGCATGCATTTAAGTTGATGTCAATATAAAAAGATGAAATCAGTGGAAATCTGATAAAGAATGAAATGTTTTCCTTAGCAGTTGGCATACTGATTGTATGCATTTATGCCATAGAAAAGACGAAACATTTACTTGAAGTAAGTGTTTTAGTTTATATTTTCTTAAGATAGTAGAAAACATCAAAGGGCTGACCAAAATAATCAAATGCAGGAACAAATACCCCATGAAGAAATTTTGAACTAGTTGGTGTTTTTAGGTTAAAAAAGTGTGATTATGGGGGGAAACGATACTGGTATGTAATAAAAGTAAAGAATCTTCAGTTCCAGGGCCATAGATAAAGTCTCCTTTCTGTAGCCTTTGCTAAAGCTTTCTGACCATGACTGCTGAGAATTAATGGCATCAAGCCATCAATTTTGAGGTGGGTAACAGGTTAAAATTATACTCAAACTCAACTTTTTTAAAAATCCAAAAGAAAACATCCTCCTCTTTTCCCCCAGTCCTTCCCATCTGCTTTGCAGCTCTGAAGCTTGTGGCATTGTGATAATCAGGACATGACTGTTTCTGAAAAAAAGTATGGCAACTTGATAATATATTTTAGGAAGCTGTAATATAGTCAAGAAAAAATATGAATTAATTTAAAGTGTGTGAAACTTGAAAGACACTCAAATCCTCTATGTAATAAATGTAGTGATTAGGTAGGCTGCCCTTGGATCATGAATAACAGCTAATTTATCCCACTGATCTTGATGAGATTCAAGATTCTTCAGCTTTTAGGAATAGGATATAATTATCAATGCCACTTTGTTCTTTGGCAAAATTAAAGTACATTGTTTTGCCTCACGTAGGATCTACATCCCACTTCTTCTGCTGACATGACATCTTCTTCCATATCTTTTCCTAGCATGCCATTTTCAAAGCAAGCAGTAATGAATGTTTTCTGAGTATTGCCAGTTTAATAGACCAAGAGTATAAATGTATTGCTTTTGTAACATGAGTATTTTAAAGAGTTGTTAATGCTAAAAACATTTCTAAAGAAATCCCTCTAAGGTTTGTATTCTCAATATTTATATTGCCAAAAGGGAGATAAAGTAAAAGGACTTAAGCGAATGACTTTCTTATTTTTTTGAATGTCAAGACCAAGCTCCAATAGACCTCTGAGATATTCCAACAGTTCCCACAACCATTAGCCAAACTAGGTAGGGCTGATAAGGGTTGAAGAATGCTAGAGGGCACAAGTTTATTTAACTCCACTATAAATAAAGGGTCTGTTGACATAACCATTTACATGATTCATGTGGAAGGGCTAAGCATGTTATGCAAACACAAAAACTGAGTAAATTGACCCAAGCAATTAACCATGAGATGGTTACAGTTAGCTAATTCCCACCAGTCAACTAACTCTAGGGTTAATTGTCCCTTCTGACTTCTGTTATTGAGACAAAGACCTAGAATGGCCCATGAAAATGTAACCTTATGGAATCATAAAGTTGGAAGGGACTGCAGAGGTCATGTGGCCAATCTCTTGCCTCTCTATAACCTCTGTGGCCATTTTGGTCTTTATCCTTCTTTAATTCTCATGGGTGTGTTTGAAAAAGGGGCAGAAATGGAAAGGAGTGGGTATCTCCTTCTAATCTTGTCAGTAGCAGCACCACCAATCCCTGCACCACCACAATTGAAGAAGAAAAAAAGTCAGGGAGTGGAAAGATAAGTAATAGCCTTCTGGGCTCTTTGCAGAAGCTGCAGGCCTGCCATAGTAATCCTGAACAGTGCGCTATTGTATTGCTGCTGCACAAAGTTGAGGTAATTGGCTTTGTATCACTTACATTTCAAAATCAAGTGAATGTACTTTGGTCAGGTTCATTCACTGGATTTCAAAATGTAAATGATAACAATAGATCACAGTGGTTGAAGACGTTTTTCATGGCATTTGTAGAATCTCACATGCTGCTATGTACATATTTCAGGTTGCTGCTTAGAATTCTGGTGAGCTCTTCCTGAAGAATATATATTCATGTTTCTGCATTCAGCAAATATAATTTCACTTTATGATGGCCAGTTATGTGTGGAAAGTTCTTTCCTGTGTATTTTCTATAGTGCAAGGGGTTTTGTAAAATGCATAATACTGTGCAAAATTGAGGAAAAAGGATATATTGCATTACACACTGATACTTCAAGCTCTAGAGATAAATCTGTGGAATCTGTAGACTTGAAAATGTTCTTAGACAATAGCTTCACTAATTGTTGACCATCACTTCAGGCTTCATTTTATTTTCAAGACATTTATGCTTATTTTAGATGGAGGAAATTTTTAATGTTTTGGTGATATAAAATTCATTTTACTCATCTGTTGATCTTCTGATAAGTAAGAACAAGTTTCCATCTCGTTGCTGGTGGCGGTGGGGCACTAAACCCCTGAAGCTGCAGAAAATTTACCAGAGGCCATTTTGTCCAACATGGAAAAAAATATTATGAGTGTCATGTTTCTCATTCAAGAAGCCACTCTGTTTCTTAAAAATGCTCATCATAAGTCCATGACTCTTGCTTGAATCAGTCTGTGTTTAGCAGACACACAATGAAAGCTGGACACTGTTACTGCTTTTTTCTGAATATCAATAACATTTTCCATAGGAAGTGTTATTCCACACACCTATTCAAGAACAAATCTGAGATGCAAGAATCTACAAAAGCTTTCTCAGTGCAAGATAATTCTACCAAAAAACACTGAGCTGAATTAGACGATGTTCATTCTGTAGCCCTAGTCAGCTTGGACTGGCCATCAGGTGTAAGCCCAGTGGATTTTTTTATTACCTCTAGTGTCTGCAGACAGCCACCCATAAAATTACTTCCACTGTTTTCCATATCTATCCCATTCTCCTGCAATCTATAGTTTTAATTACAAGACAGTTAAACAGTTCTTAACAGGAGAGGAAAGATAGGCAAAAAATAACAATAATAATAATAATCAGTGGACCACAGGATTTAGAAACTTATCCTATCCAATACCCATATCTTACCCTACCTGCTGGCTACCTCCATTTCTATTTTTAAAATGTACTATTTACATGTATCTTCTATCTGAGACTGCAGAAAGCTACAAAGAAAGGAAGGAAAAAATATTGATTCGCGCTAACTATTCTTTCTTTTGTTTAATTAATTTTGTGCTACCTTGTGGCCTCCCCAATGCCCCCCAAAGTGTCTTGTAATTAAAACAATGAAAATAATTCTAAACCTTTAAATAACAAACACCATATCCTAGTAAATTAATACAAGTGTGGAACTGAATTCTAATATCAGAGAGAAAAATGGCTAATAATCTCTTAAAAACCATGTGGGACCAATCTAAACAGAGAAGGGCCAGTTAGAGGGAGAATTCTACATCTGGAGTGCTACCTCAGAGAACATCCAATTCCTATCAGCCAAGCTATGACTCAGGCTGGTTCATATACCAAAAAGCCTCTGAAGAAAATCCTAAATTCTGGTCAGATTCATGTGGCAGTTTTTTTTTTTTTCTTCCTGATGTCCTTGGGCAAACCCATGTATGGCTTTATGCGTATCTCCAGTTGTGCCTGGCAACTCTTGTACAGTTGATGGAAATTAGTGTGAAATGGTCAACACAACATATGAATCTACATGCAGATATAGGAGATACATCTGGAGCCACAGAAAATGTGATCATTCAAAGGGAAGATCACATTATGTATTCCATTACAAAGTATACCTCCTCAGTAGCAAATGATTTTTGCTAACAGGTGCTAAGTCAAAATTAAAATATTTTCATGAGAGTATTTCTGAGACTTTTGTCCCAACCAATCCATTCCTTAGAATAATAAGGCCATGCAAGAATTGTCCCTGATTATTTCCATTATTTTTTGGTGGGGAACATCATTTTACCCACATCACATACATATGCCACTCCAGATCTAAGACCTTGTAGAAGATATAAAATGGTTGTTAAGCTGCCAATATGGAGGGGGGTGGACTGAATGAAAAAAAAAAAAAACCTAGTTCCTACTATTGCAAATTGAAGTTCCAACCTTGGTGAACAGCTGAAGATTTTCCTCATACATTTGGAGAAATTGGGTAAAAATATTGTTCCCCAGTTCTCTATCCATAAATAGGTGGGAAATTTTGATATATCATTTGTACATAACACTATTGCTAGCAGCTACATGGAGATTTTTAATATGAGCTCCAAGGGACCATAGATGCCAAAAGCAATGAAGTTAAGGAAGTATTTAGAGAATATTGGCTAAGATCCTATCTTAATGTGTGGCTTTCTGCCATATGCAGATAGTCATATCTTGGAAACTTCCACAATATTTCAAAAAGGGCGGGGGGAAAGGGAGAGTCACAAAAGGTAACTAGGATCCCCCTACTAACCTGCTGGTAATCTGAAAATTGGGTAGGTATAATTGGGCCAAATTTCTCCTCTCACCTGATCAGATTTCAGCTTCATTTTCTATGAAGCCACATTCTTCCTTTGATTGGTCTACTGATCTGCCTTTGTGCTCCTGTTTTTATGATTTAGACAGAATGCAGTCTTTTTTTCTTGATATTCCAATGAATTCTGGGGCATTCACAAGCATGGTGCTTATTTAGTAAACATACGTCTTTCTCAGTCTTCCTCAGAAAGCTGAGACATATTGGCACTTGCAAGCACTATGATCTCCCTTACCACCCATTCATCGCCCCACACTTTCAATGAACCTGATCACATGGGCTAGGGTTATGAACATCTGAACAACCAGTAGATAGCAGCAAAGAGTGGTTGACTGAATTCTTGTAGAGTCCTTCGTGCTCTCTGAGC